TCGACGAATCTGCCTCCCAGTGCTACGTCTATGCTAACGCCGAGGATGTTGCCGTCGTTCAGCGCATGCGGGTCGGGATCTTTGACTTTGTATGCAGTCACGCCGGCGCAGGCACGGTAGATGTTTTCGAGGTTGCGTTTCGACTGACGTGTGATGACATCATTGGCATCATTCGCGGATTTGTTGTTTGTGTTGGTGTTTTGAAGGCGCGCTGCGAGGTGGGGTTGCGACAGCAGAACGGAGGATAGGTTCGCGCGGTGGGCATGGAGTGTCGCTAGTCGGGTATGGAGGTTGCTAATGTCCTCGTCGAGCTGTTCGGTAGTCTCCATGGTGCAGCAGTGTATCGTCGCAGAGGCGCATCGGTGTCCAGGTTGGATCGCGTAGAGCAGATAACGCGCTAACACGTGACTAAGCGTCGAGCAGGGGTGGCCGGAGGTGGGATGGAAGCCCGCGACCCGCCTAGTGCTCCGCCCTCGAGCTCGAGACTAGAGGACACGGTTCCGTATCCGCCCAGTAATTCAAAGCCGGTGGCCATCGTTACTGCATACTGTTACCCGGCTGCTAACACGTTTCTTGTCATTCACTAGTCACTCTCTAAACATCCGTCGCAACCCAGAGTTTGCGTCTTCTTTCCTACGCTTCGCCAATCTCAGTCCCGGACTTCAGCCACCTATCACCCGCGCGACTCCTATTACCTACCCACTTGTCCAACTCCACCACCAAAACCCCTCCTCATCGGACGCACGCCACCGACGCACCCAAATGAGCAAACGCGCCTCGCGATCCAAGAACCGCGGCTCTGTACTACGTGAGCAGAGCTCCACCGACTCACTGCAGGAGAAGAAGAACGGAAATGCAAATTCCACGGCTATGAACAGCGCAATGTTGGAACATCGGCGCAAGCATTCGTCCTTCGACAGCAATTCGCCATCGAGCCAGGCTGCATCCCTCATGGGCAACTCCAACTTTTCGCTCGATGACGATATCCCCAAGCTGGGCCAAGAAGACGAAGGGACGTCCAAAGGCTTCTTCGAGCTGTCCAAGAAGGACCAGAGCAACTTCCTCCTCCTCGTGCTGCTCTACTTCCTGCAGGGCATACCCATGGGCCTGGCACACGGCTCTGTGCCATTCCTGCTCAAACACAACGTGTCCTACGCTGCCATTGGTGTCTTCTCGCTCGCAGCCTACCCGTACTCGCTAAAACTTCTATGGAGTCCAATCGTGGACGCGGTATGGTCACCAAAAGTCGGACGCCGGAAGAGTTGGATCTTACCCATTCAGACCATTTCTGGCTTCTCCATGATCTGGCTGGGCAAGAACATCAACCGCATGATGAAGGAGGCGGGCGAGACCGACAGCGGGGTTTGGACTTTTACGTGGTGGTGGTTTGCACTCGTATTCCTTTGCGCCACTCAGGATATCGCCGTGGATGGTAAGACATTGCAACTCCCAAGACTGATATGCGCAAAGCTAATCGCGAGTAGGCTGGGCGCTGACCCTTCTCTCCAAGGAGAACCTCGCATACGCATCGACTGCGCAAACCGTCGGCCTGACCGCAGGCCAGTTCCTTTCCTACACCGTCTTCCTCGCCTTCAACTCCAAAGACTTTGCGAATAAGTGGTTCCGCAGCACTCCTGCAGACACCGGCATCATGGAACTTGATGGCTACTTGAGCTTCTGGGGGTGGGCATACCTGGTAGTCACTCTTGGACTGGCAGTCATGAAGCGCGAAGACCGCGATAAGAACGGCGATGGCATCAGCGAGGTTTACCGCACCATGTGGGGCATCTTGAAGTTGAAGAACATTCAAAGCTTCATCATCATCCATCTCATCGCCAAGATCGGGTTCCAAGCCAACGATGCTGTCACAAGTCTGAAGCTCCTAGACAAAGGTCTCAAGCAGGAACAGCTGTCCCTCGTCATTCTTGTTGACTTTCCCGTCGAGGTCTTCCTTGGCTACTACATCGGAAAATGGTGCCAGACCTACCCGCCGATGCACATCTGGTGTTGGTCCTTCATTGGACGCCTGGTGGCTGCTGGGTTCGCGCAGTTTGTCGTGTCGATCTTCCCGGCTGGAGGAGCATCGTCTGGTTTCCTGATGCTGGTCATTGCTGAGCATGTGCTGTCGACCTTCATGAATACGGTCATGTTCGTCGCAGTCAGCGCGTTCCACGCAAAGATCTCTGATCCGCTCATCGGTGGTACCTACATGACGCTGCTCGCTACGTAAGTTCCATTCGCCTGCTCTATCTACGTGTTGCTAACAACAGTATAGCGTCTCCAACCTTGGCGGTACATTCCCACGCTACTTTGTCCTCAAAGCCGTCGACATGTTCACTTCGGCAACCTGCGTACCACCTACGGATGTTCCCAAGGCAGATCTTTTGAAGGGGCCACTTATCACACAGGCCTTCTCTTGCTCGCTAGAAGCAGAGAAGCATCGCTGCCAGGCAGGCGGGGGTGTCTGCAACGTCACGAGTGACGGATACTATATTGTGAATATTCTGTGTATTGTGATTGGTGTAGTGACGTTCTGGGGCTACATCAAACCTGCCGTTATGCGCATACAGGCGTTGCCGCTAAGGGCATGGAGGATTGCTGGATAGGTAGATGACCTACGAAGTGTACGATATAGATGTAAAGCTTGATTTAGATGAAGGCACATTGCGCGGCTATAGACTGCTGATAAAAAACGTTTGGACCCAGAAACATGGCAACAATCCGTCTCCAAGCCGCTTGCGCACGTATGTGCCGCGCTCGCGCGTTCTCCCGTGACCAGGCGTGCTGATCGGCCAATAGTGGGTGGCCTGATGCACCAGTGTAAGCCACGCCGTCTGGAGCGCATGCAGGTACGTTTGCGCCGCAGTACATGTCTCAGACCGCTCAAAGAAGGGTCAAACTATGCAAGGGTTTGCTCACGAATAGCCTGCACAGTTGGGTGGTTATAGCTTGAGATTATTGGGTGAAAGAACTCTAGCGGCTCGCCGTTGTCAGTCATCAGATGGTCTGGGACCGTTCTGTAAGCAGGCCGAGCCTCGACTCAGCATGCCGAAGACGCCGATAGAGGGACATGTTAGCTGGTGCGATATGTCAGGCCATGTGTAACGGCTGCGGCCCGGGGTGAACTAGCAAAGCTTTGAGGGATCAGATGCCTGCGCCTTCTCCGAGAATCTCGCAAACCCCCGAAGTCGCCGAAGACACGCTGTGCCAGCTAGAGTAGCCTCATACCTCGGAAACGTGCACAAGGCGTCGACGCTTACCTTCCTGCGGCTAGTCGCCCTCGACATCGCGTTTTGACATCTGTCGCAAATTGTCTGCTGATCTTGAATACTCTTTTACCTCTATTCCTATTCGCCTGACGTGTCGCGCCCTTTTCCGTCCGTCGCAGCATAAACCTACCTAGTCCGACACCTTGATCGACGTCCGACTTTACATCAACCCCAAAGTCTACCGCAGCCGTTGAACATCCAAGGGCCCAGCCAATCCCTTACCTACGCCAATCCCGCCGAGGTGCAACACTGATAACGAGTCCCCGCGAATCGTCTTATCTCGAATCCTACGAACAGTGTTGATACCGCCTGTATCGCCAATCTTGTCGCGTCGTTCTTCTGTATTGTACGGACAATCGCAATGGCTTTTACAGCGTACCAACCTAAGGCGCGGGTCCAGAAGCCCGCGCCTCATTTCTCTGGCACTGCAGTCGTCGATGGCACATTTGAAGGTATGCGACTGTTTACCGTCTTGCACCTTTCTCCTTCCTTCACCCATTCGATTGCCCATCAGTCAGAACAACGTACTGACAACTCGTAGACCTCAGCTTAACAGCCTATACATCCACCAAGCAATGGCTCGTCCTCGGCTTCGTCCCCATGGCCTGGACTTTCGTTTGTCCGACCGAGATCCTCGCCTTTAGTGAACGCGCATCCGACTTCGCTGCCCGTGGCGCCAGCGTCGTCTTCTCCAGCACAGACAGCGAGTATAGTTTGCTTGCTTGGACAAACGCAAGCAAGAAGGAAGGAGGCCTGGGCAAAATCAATATTCCTCTGCTGAGCGACAAGAACCACAGCATTGCAAAGGACTACGGTGTGCTGATCGAAGAGGAGGGGATTGCGTTGCGAGGTCTGTTCTTGATCGACCCGAATGGCATCGTACGACAGATCACCATCAACGACCTTCCTGTTGGAAGATCGGTCGACGAGACTCTTCGTCTGATCGATGCCTTCCAATTCACCGACAAATACGGCGAGGTACGTTGCTTCCTATTCCCACGCACCCCTAAGTACGCTATATGCTAACATAGTTTCACTAGGTTTGCCCTGCTAACTGGAACCCTGGTGACGAAACCATCAAAGCGACCCCCGCAGGCAACAAGGAATACCTCGAGAAGCTCCATACTGACACCAAGATGTCTGACGTCGCCGCAAAGACAAACGGTACGGCTTCTTCGGCGCGTTGATAATGGCCGGCCAGACCTCAATGTTTCGAAAACAGTGTGCTGATCTTCCTTCTTCCAGGAACTGCATGAAATGCAGATGTTTTGGCGTGCTTTGATCCTGCGATATTAGCATATGCGTCTCGTCTTTCATCTGTGATAAGTTGCATTGATCGGCGTTGTTCTGCCGCTGTCGCGTTGGTTTTCTGGTTGCGGTCTTCGGCTCAGCTACGCCCATCATACCAATAGAATCCACTCTATACAATGTTCAAAACTTTAAATCAAATGCAGCCGTGAAGTTGGTGGCATTGCGTGTAACGTGAAGGCTTGGTCAGGAACACTGTGATGCTCGTTTCCTGATTTCCAACAGGTCTTTGATTCCTACACATGCTCACAAAAAATTTCAGCAGGATGACAAGGCCCCAGAACTTCTGTAAAATAATTAAGTCGCAAGCGTGTTGCGACATTGCGAAGGATGCGCGTTAGCTTCCGCTTGGCGCTACGGAAACAACGCGACGCCACGGATCTGTACCTCTTTCGACATAGCCCACAAGAAGGGCCTCCAATCATGGAGCCACGCCTGAATACGCTACTGGACATCTCGAACCAAAGCAGCATGTCGTACTTCACAGAGCCATCGAACATGAGCTCACCTGGCTCGCAACGACCATCACATCACATTAATCACAGCTTCGTACGCCCAAAAGCGCTCATGCTAACGAACGCATCTCCTGAAACCACTCAGTCGAACGACCTCCGAAGAGACGGACAGGAGAGGCTATATGCTACACGGTCGATGCCCAGTGCTCCGATAGCACAGGTATTGAACGATGAGGCGAATGTGCTCGAGGCAGCACAACCCGTGCCATCCACCTTTGCCCCATCAACAACACCTTTCAGTGGAAGGCTAGTGGATCTGCTTCTGGATAGCCCGGATCATGCGAGGCAAAGATGGGATCAAGAGCAACAGTTTCTTCAGCCTGACAACACAGGATGCAGCCCAGCTGTCATCAAACTACCGAGGTTACCGCAGCCTCCCAAGCGGACAGCGAAGCGACCTAGAATCCCGCCGTTGCTACAGGGCTTGCATCAACCCCCGCCACTGCCGCCTGAGGGCAGACTCTTCCCACCGATCACTGGGGAAAAGAATGGTTTCGCGGGCGACAGAGGGTATGACGCACGTTTTGAAGAGTCCAGGACCAAGGATGTGGACGAGCATGCCTTTCTCGAAGGAAATGCCATGGACTACAACAGAGCTGGTCAACATGCCGAAACCCAATCATTTTCCCAAGCGTCAGTTCCGCCTGTATCTTCTACTGTAATAGATGTGGCCCATGAGACAGATGTAGCAACAAACGCCTCCAAGGACTCTGAAGCGCTGTTACAGCCCAAGCGTGGAAAGAAGCGAAACAAGTGGTCTGAACAAGAGACCAAGGATCTGCTTCTAGGTGTCAGCAGGTATGGTATAGGTAACTGGAAAAAGATATTGCAGGACCAAGACTTTGCATTCAACAATCGCACCGCCGTTGATTTGAAAGACCGCTTTCGTGTATGTTGCCCTGGTGAAGGTTTGAAGCCACGACAGCCAAAGACGAAGGGAAAAGAGAAGACAAGCCTAGTTGAGACACCACCGGATTTGCCAGATCAAGCCATCTACACTCATCAGCATTCTCTTCCCATTAGCGAGCGCCAATCCGACATCAACCTCATTTCGAACTGCCCCAGCCCGACAGAGAACCAGCAACGTGGAGCTACTCGCAATAAGGCTACTACGCAGCTGGATCTGGCGGAACTCGGTATCCGCGAACCATTCTCAAAAACCACCCGTCGACCACGCCGGGCCTTTAGCGCACGCGATGACATCAACTTGCTCAAGGGCTTTGAAAAGTACGGGTCTGTATGGCACTCAATGCGCGACGACGAGGATCTGGGGTTTGGAACTCGGCATCCAACAGACTTACGCGATCGATTCAGAATCCGGTATCCAGACAAGTATGCCAAAGCAGGCTACAAACTCAAAGCAAAGGAGAAGGAACGTACACTATCGAAACAAGCACAAGAGCAAGAAAAACAGGACGATTCTTCGCAACAGCCAGACCCCATTCCACTTCAGAACCCTTCGCACCACGCGAAATCAAGTCACTCACAGAACGACATTACCTTCCTCGGAAAAGACATTCATCCCTTCAACACTAACGGACCAAACACCAACACGCCATCACACTGTCCGATCTCCAACAACAACAACAGCACCACCAACAACAACGTCAATAACCTAAACCCCGCCCTAAAGCCCTTCAACCCCTCCTCCTACCTCTCCGACCCCCTCCCCACCCTCCCCTTTGACGACCCAGACAACGACCTGGCACAAGACATGAGCACCGTCGGCGACGAAAGCCCAATAACACTAAGTCGGAATATTCTCCGTTGGGCGGATGCGAATCCGTCGTCTCTGTACGCCTTGCCCGCTACTTCGGCGGTTTCTGCTTCGGCGTCGACGGGGAATGGGCTTGGTGGTAGTCTTGGTGGTAAGGGGGCTGGCGGGGGCGGGTCCGGTGGTGGTGGTGACGGGGGGATGGATGGGTTTATCGGAGGAGGGAGAGGTCAACAGCAGCAGCAGCAGATGGATGGTGGGAGGGGGATGGTGCTGCCTGAGGCGGATAGTTGGTTATTGGGTGGTGAGAGGGTTCCGACGTATGGGATGTATAGGCATCGATCTTAGCATAGGCTCATGTGTCGTACGTGGCAGTGGGGAATGAAGGTATAAGGTCAAATAGCCACCTTATGTTGGCATGATAGGGACTGCTCGATACAACGACAAACTTCAGTAAAATTTTCCAATTCGGTATTCTTGAGAGCTCAATTGCAGACGTATCCATCAGATCTACATGACCCATGCCCTCCTCCCACATAAACCCGGGTATCACTCGCTCCCAACCTCCCATGTATCAAACCCCCTATCTCGCAGTCTGGCAGATAGCAATAGCAAATTCTCGGAAGTCTCCTCTAGTAGCCTCTTCGACATCCTCCTCAACGATACGGCCATACTTCTCCTCGTACTCCGCCTTGACTCTAAGAAGATGCTGCCGGTCCCAATGTAATCTCACAAGACGCGAGATGAGTAATTCGACTCGTTGTTGGCGCTCATGCTTGCTGGATGTTGCTTCGCGCGAGGACAGGCGACTGTTGGAAGAGCGGCCGTCGTTTGCGGGCTCCATGAGGTCGACGAGAGCGTGGTGGAGGAGCATGGCATCTCTTGCAGGACGGTTGACTGGGACGCGTAGTTAGTATATAACCAAGAGCTGGGAGGCATGGGAGAACACTTACTGACGCCATTGAGAATGTGCGCAATAACTTCACCGACTAAATTGTTGCTCTTCTTGAGAGCGTCTCTCGCAAAGTTGCCTTGGTACTTTCTCTCATATGTCCTCAGCACCTCGCGCAGATGTGCGTCACTTCGCATGATGACAATACTGAGCATAGCACTTTCTCCACCTTCCCTGGCTCGGATGGCTTTGTATAGGGTATCGACATCGCGATTGCGATATTCCACCGGCCACACATCGCTTTCTTCCTGCCGATTGGCTTCCAGTGCCATCAGCACAGCTTTACGGAACTTGTCGGCTTTGAGCTCCTTGTCCATGCAGCGGATGAGGGAGTCGCTGTAGCGCTTGTCTTTGAATGAATCTTTGATTTCGCGGATCTCGTGGTTTTGTCGACCCATTAGTGATTCGATAAGGAGCTCTCTCTTCGCCGAGTTGGACTGGTACCAGTAGTTTGCCCAGTAGCCCTCGCCTTCGTATTTGCCTAGGGCCGTCACGTAGGCAATTTTGCCAAAATTACCGTTGGTCTTCAACTTGATGTGTTTGGCGATGTTGATACCCCTGCCTTGTACTTTGCAGTGTCGCTTGTACTCGGCTCGCAACTCGAGCATCTGGTCGTGTGTGAGGATTGGGAGGATTTCGCATATAGTCTCCACATCTGGCGTCCGCGCCGCCAGTGCGTCGACTAGGGCTAGAGCGTCATCAGTGGCATCGTATATTCTCGCTTTTCGTTTCTCCTTTTCTGGGAGGCGCTCGTCGCGGCCATATGCGGCCATAGCCAGCTTGTCGGTATGCCTGGAGGACCTCGAAGGGCTGGGTGTTCGTCGCGAGGAGGTGGAATGAGCACGGCGGCGGCGGCCATGACCAGACTCACGAGGGGAGAGAGTATCGAGAGGAGGCAGATGGTCAAGATCGTCATCTAGCATCAGCGCCTGTGGCATAGGGCTAATGGACTGATACGTTCCATGGTACGCTTCGAGCAGTGGACTCGGCGGTGGTAGTCCGAAGGGGAATCCCCCAGGCATGCCTCCTGGAATGATGGTTTGTATATCGGGTCTGTTCCCGCTGACGGACAGCCTATCCATGCGCAGCCCATCCGGCCTGTCGCCTGCGCCAAGGTGACCTTGTGGACGCATCTCTACTACATTACGGCCGTCGTGTGTGCTCATTGGCCCCGAGTAGGAAGCAGCGCGGTGATGATCAGGGCGCGGCGAGTGGCTGCCAATTGGAGGAGGTGGATAGAAGGACTGGTCGGCTGGGGGCGGCTGAGGAGCCAGTGGCATGGCCGCATACTGAGATGGCGATGGAGGGGCCTGTGATGCGTACGGGGACTGCGGTGGCGGCGCATGCGATGCATACTGAGGCTGCGATGGGGGAGCTTGCGACGCATACTGCGATTGTGAGGAAGGAGCCTGCGGCACGGCTGTGTACTGGAGTTGGGGCGTCGGGGGGTAGGAAGGGCTTATGGGCTGGGAGTTGTGCCGCACGACTGGCGGCGGCTGGTTGTTGCTGCCCACGGGTTTCGCGGTATACTGGATATTCGTGGGCGGACTCGCATACTGGAAAGCGCCGTTGGTCTTCGCTGTCGCCGTCGGGGTGCGCGTGGGCGCGTTGTGGGATGCCGACGTCGCGGTATAGGCAAAGCCTTGGGCGGTCGGCGCATACTGGACGTTGCCCGGCTGCGCATACGCGACGCCCGCCGAGTTGGCTGCCGTGGTGGCAGGATGGGCGAACGAGGCGGACTGGGTATACCCTGGTCTCTCGTGGGGAGGGAGATCGGTGTAGTTCCCCATGGTAATGGGTTCGCTGGCTGGTCTGGTCGCCATTTCTCAGTTCAAGTCCCGCAATGTCTGTCGAAGACATCTGGCAGACGCATTTCGCGCAGTACTCACGTCGCATATTGCTGACCCGGCTGCCTAATCTCATACTGCGGGGTTGCAGCGCCGTTGTCAGCTGCACCTCGATGTCGCTGAGGCTCGCGCCCGTCACGGCTACGTGAGCGCGCGCCCTCTCGACCGCGCCCAGGCGATTTGGACCGCGAGCGCCTTGACTTGTCGTCTGGCCGCAAAGACATGGCCTTGATCTTTCACTGCTCAATTGATGAGACTAATGTCAATTCTCGTGGTCGAGGTTTACGCGCTGAACAGTTCGGTCCAGTGCACGGCGCCACGAAAATTGCGATGGCTGGAAGCTGCCACACCATTGCCGCTCCTTTCAGCCTCGCTCATGTTTGCATTGGGGGCCAAAACCGTTGCTCAATTCGCCCGTTTCCCTGGTGCCGGAGGTCGGGTAGGCGCCTGCGCACATCGTGGAGCAGCTCCGTGAGTTCTTGTTGTAGCATCACGATGCAAAAGGTGTCGTTGGTCCTGATGTGCACGTACGTCGAAAGTGGAAAGGGAGGCTTTCCCGACTCCAGCACATCCGTCCGCACTGAATCACAGTCATGATTCTTATCTTGCGTCACAGCGTCAAGCGAGCGCTAGAAACGCCGAAGAACCTCTATCAGAAACTTATGTTGAGCCGCTTCAGCTCCGTAACGCGCCGATATTAACGTCGCCATCGGCGAAGGCAGGAACTGTGGGTCTCAACTCACCGCTTCAGCTACCTGACGTGGAATTATCGAGCATTCTACGGACATTACCAGGGAATGCTTGGTACCTTAATGCTTAGCCTATCCGTCTGGTGAAAAGATTTCAGCTCGAGCTGAAGTGGTGTATCGGCAGAGCGCCACGATGCATAGATAAACAAACCATGACAGCAGCTTATAGGCCGTGACCATCAGCAGCCGCGCTGTTCTAGATGTCACTTAAAGCTGAGGTGATACCATTTTCAACTGTTACAATCGTTATTCGCATTTTACTAAAATCATGGCTGTCGTTGTTCCGCTTCCTGGTAATCTCCAGCCGCAATCTGCACTCCTCCAATTGCCAGCAGAAATCAAACACATGATATTTGGATTGTGTTTCGTTGCCGACGCCCCCATAATCGACCCTCAAATCGACAGTTCCAAAACGCGAGATGACAATGCCGTTCGTACGACACCAGGCGCTGCTCTCCTTCAGACATGCCGTAGAACCTACCACGAGATCGACCGCCGTCCACTATTCGCGCAGAACACCTTCCGCTTCTCAAATCTGACCAGGATGCGGGCTTTCCTACATGCGCTTCCTGTGGAGTACAGAACGCGCATCCAAGACATCGAAATTGACTTGCGAGAGTTGAACTCCGATCGTCCTCACCTTGCGCGTGAGTGGCTGCAGTACGTTGCGCTAGCAAAGAATGGAGGCTTGAATTCATTGCGCGCTGACGCAGCCGGTCTACGGTGTCTGCGGATCAACCTAGAGGCATGGCCAGTTAGTGAGTACTCTCAATCATACCTTCATGTGAGGCATATACTGACATGGCATTTCAACTTTCAGTTGCCGTAATTCGGAGTGAACTTTGGAACTTTCTTCGAAACATGCTATCGGGGCTCGAGAGCTTGGACAGAGTTGTTGTCACTGGTTCGAGCAGAGGCAAGGCAATGGAACGAAAATTGCCATGGTCGCCAGTTCATTTTGTTGGTGGAGATGACGTTGGAACCCACGACTTGCTTACTCGAATGAACAAGTGCGTCACCAAAACCGGCAGCGACAACGCCGTCAAGTGGCAGCGACAAAACGGCAGATTACAACTCGAAGTAATCTCCAAATCGGGTTTACACGAAAGCGTTGCCGCACAAGGTTTACGAGCTCCACAGAACGAGAGCAGCACAAAACTCTTGCCACCGAGCGGAGAATGTTCCTTCTTTGCCTGCGAGAATCGCCAATCCTATGGAGAAGAGTCCGTGGATAAAACATCTAATCCCAATGCCGCCGAATGATGGGCCTCGCTGGGTCCCACGGACCATAAATCTCATTCTTGTACTTCTGGAGACCGATGAGCCACCAACTGCAGACCCCCATGCTCAGCACAGTGAGGATGACCCCTACGATCGCACCTGCCAAGAATGTACTGCGACCCCCACCTGTCAAGGTGACGAAGAGACCACCCCACGCGCCGGTTACTAGAGTGATGGTCAGGGCGAGATGACCCCACGGAGATCGAGCGCGGAGCTGCCGACGGAAGATTGGGAATAGACCGTATATTTCGATGGAGAAGAGAGTCAACGAGAAGACGTGTGTGGTGGATGGCAGGCGTGATGCAAGAACAGCCGACGCCATCATGGCCGAATTCGTGGATATCGAAGCTGGTAATCTGTAGTCATACAACTTAGCCGTACGTACATCCAAAAGACTAGTGTCGTTCATACTGTGCGCCTGTGCCTGCACTGTAGTCGAAAAAGGCAACGTTCATCATGAGGAGCCATGTGCTCAGCGCCCATATCGAATCGCTTGTCGTAGAGCGCGTAAGTGAGTTG